GGTTCTTCTCTTTGTTCCATATGAAGCATAGATCTTGACTTGGTTAGTCTAGCTAGCAGTTATCAATCTTGTTATCTTTCAAAGAGCCAGCTTTTCCTTTGTTTGATTCTTTTGTTTGTTTTGTTTTGTCTCGTCTTTTCATTTAGTTCTGCTCTGATCTTTGTTATTCATTTTCTTCTGCTAATTTTGGGTTTGTTTTGTTCTTGTTTTTCTAGTTCCTGGAGGTACAACATTAGCTTATTAATTGTAATCATTTTACTTTTTTTTGGCATATTATGGGGGTACAGATTTTAAGGTTTCAATAAATGCCCATTCCCCCCTCCCCCCCACAAGTCTGAGTTTCCAGCATGACCCATCCCTCAGATGGTGACAGCATTCACTCATTATGTATGTATATACCTGTCCCTCACCCCTCCCACGTGCCCCAATACCCTATTACTGTAGTACCTATGTGTCCCTTAGGTGCTGGTCAGTTAAATACCAGTTTGCTGGTGAGTATATGTGCGTGCTGTGTTTTTTCCATTCTTGGGATACTTCACTTAGTAGTATGGGTTCCAGCTCTAACCAGGAAAATATAAGATGTGCTATATCACCGTTGTTTCTTAAAGCTGAATAGTACTCCATGGTATACATTTTACCACATTTTATTACCACATTTTACCATACATTACCACATTTTATTAATCCATTCTTGGATTGATGGGCACTTGGGCTGTTTCCACAGCCTTGTAATTATGAATTGTGCTGCCAAAAACATTCGAGTGCAGCTGTCTTTTTTGTAGTGTCATTGGATCTTTTGGGCATTTTACTTTTTTGATGTAGGCATTTAATGCTATAAAATTTCTGCTTAACACTAATTTTACTGTATCCCAGAGATTTTAGGTATGTTGTGTTTCCATTTACATTCATTTCAAAATTTGTTTTAAATTTTCATCTTAATTTCTTCATTTACTCAAAGATCTTTCTGGAAGATGTTATCTAATGGCCATGTTATTTTTATAGTTTCTGAATTCCCTCTTATTATTCACTTGTACTTTTATTCAATTTGTGCTCTAAGAAGATACTTGATATGATTTCAATTTTAAAAATTTGTTGAGATTTGTTTTGTGGCCTATCATATGGTCTGTGTTGGAGAACGTTCCATGTACTGATGAGAAGATATATATTCTGCAGTTGTTTGGTAAAATATGTATGATTTCATTGCTTATACATAGCCTTAGTGTGGTGGCTTTTTCCAATGCTGGTTGTAGTAGCTATAAACCCAGTGGGTTAGTGAGCTCACAACCTCCTGGTCAGCCACAGTGATATGGATGATGATGGCAACATTGGTCACGAGAAGTTTTTCTTGTTCCCATACAATGTGCTCTTGTGTTAGCAGTTGTTATAATGAGTTGTGTGGGCTGTCCAGCTGACTATGAGGTGGCACTAAAAAATAAGAGCCAACTTCAGTGGTAGTGGTAGGATTTATGCCTGACCTTTGTTAACTGGGAGAAGTACTTGGGTATCCCAGGTGGTGGATTGGGCTGTGGAACCCTGAGGGGCCTGGTTCTCATGGGATGCACAAAAGTAGGCAGAGCTAGACTGGGCAAGCCTGTACTCAGGCCCCATAATGAAGGGTGCAAGTGTCAGCTTTGAAGGGGGTGGTGAAGTCCTCAGGCTCCTAGTTAAATGCCTGGGTAAGGGGAAACTGCTGCTGAGTCAAGTTCTCAAAATGGGAAGGAAGAGGCAGTCCCAATGCTGCAGACTTGGCTCGTGGGAGTGGAACCTGGTTTCCATTTATGACCCAGTTACTGCATGGCTGTCTTCCTCACCCTGCCTGTGGTAGTCTATAAAGGTATTCAGTTTGTCACTATAGTTGGCTTCTAGTCTGCAACATATCTCTGGCTGTAGGAAATGCTCCCTCAGTCATTCAATACCAAGCCTTCAGGGCAGCTCTCCTTCTGCTCAGGTTTTGGTGGTTGTAGGAGTCCAATTTGAACAGCTTTTGAACTTGTTTTTAAATTTGGGTTTTCCTAATATTTTTTCATGATTATACTAAGGCTGTGAATTTTGTAAGAATACTACAGAGTTGATTTACCTTTCTCAGTATATCATAACAGGAAGTACATGACATGGATGTCTTATTACTAGTGATATTAAACTTGATTAAGATTAAGGTAATATCCACATGGTTTCTCCACTATAAAGTTATAATTTTTGCTTTGTAATGAATAAAAATCTTGGTTGGTGATATTTGCTTTGAGACTGGGAATATTCTCTTTGCTCTTAAACTTTCACCCACTGTTTAAAGCATCCATTTTGGATTTTGCTTGTAACAATTATCATTCTGATGTTTTATTGTCAAATTTGTATCTTTCCCCATCTCTTCTATGTTTACTAATTTGAGTTTTTTTCTAAAGCATAGTTTATTTCTCTTCCAATGATATATTCATTCATTCAATTACTTATATACATCAGTTGGACTAATGGATATTTATTTTATAAGTTATAATATCATCCTATGGAAATTAGTTTTGTTGATCAAAATTTTCCAGCCTTGGTCTTCAAGAAGTATTTTAGTTAGCTTTCAATTAGTTCCTAGGCCCTTTTGATAGGCTCTTACTTAAAACTTTTAATTTTGAGATAATTTTAGATTCAGAGGAGTGCTAAAATAAGTGTATAGATAGTTTTTGTATACTATTCACATAGTTTTCCTTTATGTTTACATTTTACACACCCATAGAGTAAAGAATGAGCCTTATTATTGGTTTGGAATTATTCAGTATTATCTTTGTATGGACATGTTATACACATTGATTTTATTAATATGATTTATTTTATTAATTATTTAACATATTTTATTAATACGTTATGCTAAATGTTTAAATAATTTTTTTTAGTTACCAACCAATAGTTGACTACATAGATGCACAACTTGAGGCATATCTTCAAGAAGAACTGAAGATTAAACGTTCATTTTTTGAGTACCATGATTCCCGAGTCCACGTGTGCCTTTACTTCATTTCACCTACAGGACATTCTCTGAAGTCCCTTGATCTATTAACAATGAAGAACATTGACAATAGGGTATGTTTGGTAAATACATCAACCTTTTAATATTTAATATTAATTTAGAGATAATAATATATTTTGAGGGCATTTGCATACAAGTACAGTTTTGTGTAGCTTAATGACAGGAGTTTGTTCTGAGAAATGCACCGTTAGGTGATTTTGTCATCATGGAAACATCATAGAGTATACCTACACAAGCCTAGAAGATATAGCCTATTACACACCTCGACTATGTAACCTTTTATGGTATGGCCTATTGCTCTTAGGCTACAAACCTGTACAGAATGTTTCTATGCTGAAAACTGTAGACAGTTGTAACACAATGGTATCTGTGTATCTAAGTGTAGAAAATACATAGTATTATAATCTTATGGTACCACCATTATATATGCTGTCCATCATTTACTGACATGTATTTATGTCATACATGACTATATTTGTTATTTTGTAATATGTGTATACTTCATAATTATTTTTTCTGCTAATATTTGAAGTATTTGCATTATTTTTCTAGGGCTACCATAGCAAAATACCACAGACTTGGTTGTTTAAACAGTAGAAATTTATATTTTTTCAGACTCTTGGAGGCTAGAAGTCCAAGATCAAGGTTTCAGCAGGCTTGCTTTCTTCTGAAGTCTCTATTCTTGTCTAGCAGATGGCTGCCCTCTCTTTGTATCCTCATGTGGTATTTCCCCTGGTGTCTCTTTGTGTGTCCAAGTTTTGCCTTCTTATAAGGACATCAGTCAGATTATATTAGACTCCACGGTAACAGACTCTCATTAATTTAATCACCCCTTAAAAGGCTCTGTCTCAAAGATAGATTATGAGGTACTAGGAATTAGAGTTTCAACATATAAATTTTCGAGGGACACAATTCAGCATTTGATAGATTTCAACCTTGACTTACTTTCCAGAGAAATGTAATAAAAATATATCAGTTTAAAAAATAAAATGCAGGTAAAAATACTAAAATAAAACCTTCTTAATTTTTTCTCTGATTAAATGGTAGTTCAGATCATGGTCATTTGCTTATTCAGTAGTCCTCCTTTAGCCCCATGGGATAAGTTCTAAGACCCCAGTGGATACCTGAACCATGGATAATACTGAATCCTGTATATGCTATGTTTTTTTCTATATACATATACCTGTAAAGTTTGATTTATGAATTAGATACATTAAGAGACTAATAATAATTCATAATAAAATAGAAAAATTATAACAATATACAGTAATAATAGTTACATGAATGTTATCTTTGTCAGTCTCTCAAAATGTCTTATCATACTGCACTCACTCTTCTTGTGATTATGTGAGAAAATACAATGCCTCCATGATGAGATGAAATGAGGTGACTGATGGAATGATTCACATCAGGGTGAGAGAAAGTAGGACAGTGTGAAAGCTCATCACAATATTTATAATGGCATATAATTAAAAACTTATGAATTATTTATTTCTGGAAATTTCCATTTTATACTTTTTTTTTTTTTTGAGACAGAGTCTCGCTTTTTTGCCCAGGCTAGAGTGAGTGCCATGGCGTCAGCCTAGCTCACAGCAACCTCAAACTCCTGGCTCGAGTGATCCTTCTGGCCTCAGCCTCCCGGTAGCTGGACTACAGCATGCGCCACCATGCCCGCTAATTTTTATATATTATCATCAGTTGGCCAATTAATTTCTTTCTATTTATGTAAGAGACGGGGTCTCGCTTCGCTTCAGGCTGGTTTCCGCCTCGGCCTCCCAGAGAGCTAGGATTACAGGCGTGAGCCACCGCGCCCGGCCTACAAAAAATTTTTTAAATTATCTTGGTGTAATGGTATGTACTTGTAATCCCAGCAAAATAATCAAATGATAGTCAATACTAGTTTATTTGATATATTGTTATCACTGTCTTTTCAAACTATTTCGTTTCCTATTCTAATTAGAAACTTTTAATTTGTCTTTTATTTAAGCAAAAAGAAGACAATATTCGTTGCTTAACTACACTTGGCCATTTTGGTTTTGAATGTTTTCCCTATCAGTTGGTGAACAGATCTATGCAACAAGGATTTGCTTTTAATATTCTCTGTATAGGTAAGTGCCAAACACTTAATTTGAATTATTACTTCATTTTTCCCAATGCTCATTTCAACTTAAGTAGTGTAATATTGGTGCTATTAATTCAAGACCATTATTCATATTTATAATGGTTTCCATCTTCTTAACCATATTATGTAAATATTTTTTAAAGTTTAAATACTTCAGTATCCTTCAAAATCTGGCATACCTTAGTGTATACTTTCTTTCTACGTTATGTTAATGACTGAGGGAATCAGGGCTAGCATGTATACATTCAAGACCATCCCAATCTTTAAAGTATTAGAGACCCTTTATTTATTTTTTAAATAATAATATTATTAATTATTATTATTATTATTCTGAGACAAGCGCTCTCTCTGTTACCTGGCCTAGAGTGCAGTGGTTTCATCATAGCTCATTGCAACATCAAACTCTTGGGTTTAAGCAATCCTCCTGTCTCAGCCTCCCAAGATGCTGAGACAACAAGCATGCACCACCACACCAAGACAATGTTAAATTTTTTTTGTAGAGAAAAATGTCTAGCTACATTACCCAGGCTGGTCTTAAACTCCTGGCCTCAAGCAATCCTCCCACCTCAGCCTCCCAAAGTGCTAGGATTACAGATTTGAGTTACTACACCGAGCTGAAAGTAATATTATTTTTAATAGGAGAATCATAATTGTATATATTTATGGGATATGATGTGATGTTTTGATATATGTTTACAATGTGAAATGATTAAATCAAGCTAATATATCCATCATTTGGCTTATCTATCATTTTTTATGTTGAGTTATTTGAAGTTTACTGTAAGTTATTTTGAAATATACAACATATTATTATTGACTATAGTCACCCTGATGTGCAATTATCTCAAAACTTATTCCTCCTATCTATTAAATATTTAAAACTTTGTGTCTTTTGACCAATAAATCCCCATTTCCCTTCTCCCCTCTTCCTCAGCCTCTTTTAATCATTATTCTAACCTCTAATTCTATGAGTTTAACTTTTTTAGATTTTAAAACTCACAGTAGGAGTGTTGCCTCATCTTAGCCATTTCGTGCCCCTATAATGAATCTCTGTTTTTTACAGGGGAAACTGGAATTGGAAAATCAACACTGATTGACACATTGTTTAATATTAACTTAAAAAATAACAAATCCTCACATTTTTACTCAAATGTTGGACTTAAAATTCAGACATATGAACTTCAGGAAAGCAATGTTCAATTGAAATTGACTGTTGTGAAAACAGTGGGGTATGGTGATCAAATAAACAAAGAAGCCAGGTCAGTGTTTTATTATTTTAATTTAAAAATTTTCCTTATTTTAAGAAATTTGCCTTCTTTCTTCATAAACTAAATTATAATATTCTTGTAAGATAATTAATATATTTTCTTCCACATTTTAATTCTTTTCTAATAATGTTCTTTTCTTGCAAAATTGATACTTTTATATATAATTAATTTTCTTACAAGATTTTGAATGAACCTAATATCGCAAACATTTGTTAATGTAGTTTCTATTAGTTTTGGATTATTTCCGTGTTCCTTTATTTTATTTTTTATTTGTACAAATTTATTGGATACATGTGTAATTTTGATACACACATAGATTGCATAGTGGTCAAGTCCAGGCTTTGAGGGTATCACCCAAATAATGTATGCTGTAATCATTAAGTAATTTTTTATCATCTACTCTTCTCCCACCCCCTCACCCTTCTGGATCTCCATTGTAATAATTCCACTCTCTATGTCCATGTGTACATATTTATTTAGCACCAATTTATGAGTGAGAACGTGATATTTGACATTTTGTGCTTGGTTTGTTTCACTTAAGAAAATAAACTCAAGTTCCATTTACGTTACTGCAAAATACATGATTTTATTCTTTTTTTATAGCTGAATAGTATTCTATTATGTATATATTCCACATTTTCTTTATCTATTCATCCACTGATGAACATTTAGTTTGATTTCATATCTTTGCTAGTGTAAATAGTGTGGTGATTAACATACAAGTATAAGTGCCTTTTAGGTATACTGACTTCTTTTTCTTTGTGTAAACATAGTAATGGGATTCCTGGATCCCATCATTATGGCGGTTCTATTTTCAGTTCTTCAACAAATCTTCATACTACTTTTCATAGAGTTTGTACTAATATATATTCCCATCAACAGAGTATAAGCATTTCCTTTTCTCTGCATCCTTGTCAACATCTTATTTTCTGTTCAGCCATTCTGACTGGGGTAAGAACATATTTCTCTAGGGTTTTAGTTTGCATTTCTCTGATGATTAGTGATGTTGAACACTTTTTCATATACCTGTTGGCCATTTGTATGGCTTCTTTTGAAAAATGTCTAGTCATGTATATTGCTGACTTTTTAATGGAATTATTTGTGGGGGTTTTTGTTCAGTTGTTTGGGTTCTTTGTATACTCTGGGTACTAGTCTCTTGTATAAATAGTTTGCAAATATTTTCTCTAATTTTGTAAGTTGTCTGTTCATCCTGTTGATTATTTCTTTGGCTGTGCAGAATGCTTTAGTTTAATCAAGTCCCGTTTGTTTATTTTTGTTTTTGTTGTCTGTGCCTTTGAGGTCTTAGTCATGAATTCTTTGCCTAGACCAATGTCTAGAAGAGTTTTCCCTAGATTTTCTTCTAGTATTTTTATCATTTGGGGTCTTACATTTAAATCTTTAATTCATCTTGCATGCATTTTTGTACATGGTGGCAAATAAGGTTTTCCAGTTTTATTTTTCTGCATATGGCAACCCAATTTTTATAGCACCATTTGTTGAAAAGGAGGCCAGGCACGGTGGCTCACGCCTGTAATCCTAGCACTCTGGGAGGCCAAGGTGGGTGGATTGCTCGAGGTCAGGAGTTTGAAAGCAGCCTGAGCAAGAGCGAGACCCCATCTCTACTATAAATAGAAAGAAATTAGCTGGACAACTAAAAATATATAGAAAAAAAATTAGCGGCATGGGTGGCGCATGCCTGCTGTACCCAGGCTACTCGAGGCTGGAGGCAGTAGGATTGCTTGGATGGCCAGGAGTTGAGGTTGCTGTGAGCGAGGGGCTGACCACGGCATCCACTGTAGCTGCGGCAACAAAGCGAGACTCTGTCTCACAAAAAAAAAGATTTTTCCAATATTTCTTCCAGAATTTATACTTTATGACTTGGTTTAAGTCTATTATCCATCATGAGTTGAATTTTTAGAGTGGTGAAAGTTGGATCCTGTTTCAGTCCTCTACATGTGCTATCAATTTTCCCAGCACCATTTATTGAATTAAGGTTCTTTTCCTCCCAGTGTATGTTTTTTCGTGCTTTGTCAAGCATCAGGATGGCATATGGAGGATGATTTATATCTGGGTCTCTTGTTGTGAATCATTGGTCTATTTCCTCTTCTTGTGCTGAAACCCATGCCTGTTTTGGTGCTTATTAGCGTTGTGTACAGCTGAAGCTGGTAAAGTGGATGCCCTCCGGATTTGTTCTTTTTTTTTTTTTGAGGACCAGAGTCCTCCCACTTTGTTTGCCCAGTACATTGAGTGCCGTGATCAACTCGCCTCACAGCAAACCTCCAAAGAACTCCTGGGTCAAGCAATTACCTTCTGCTCACCTCCGGGAGAGCGACGAGCGAGAGCATGCACACCGGATGCCGGCTAATTTTTTTCGTATAGAGGAAGTAATGTTGGCCAAGATTAATTTCTTTCCGTAGTTTATAAGTAAGGCAGGAGTCTCGCTCTGCCTCTCAGCGTGGTTTCCAAAACTCCTGTCCCTGACTGCAGGGTCATCTGCCCGCCTTGGCCTCCCAGAGTGCTAAGATTACAGGCGTGAGCCACCACACCTGGCCTGTTCTTTTTGTTTAAGGTTGCTTTGGCAATATGGGTTCTTCTCTTGTTCCATATGAAGCATAGATCTTGACTTGGTTAGTCTAGCTAGCAGTTTATCAATCTTGTTTATCTTTTCAAAGAGCCAGCTTTTCCTTTTGTTGATTCTTTTGTTTTGTTTTGTTTTGGTCTCTATTTCATTTAGTTCTGCTCTGATCTTTGTTATTCATTTTCTTCTGCTAATTTTGGGTTTGTTTTGTTCTTGTTTTTCTAGTTCCTGGAGGTACAACATTAGCTTATTAATTGTAATCATTTTACTTTTTTTTTGGCATATTATGGGGGTACAGATTTTAAGGTTTCAATAAATGCCCATTCCCCCCTCCCCCCACAAGTCTGAGTTTCCAGCATGACCATCCCTCAGATGGTGCACATCTCACTCATTATGTATGTATATACCTGCCCCCTCACCCCTCCCACGTGCCCAATACCCTATTACTGTAGTACCTATGTGTCCACTTAGGTGCTGGTCAGTTAATACCAGTTTGCTGGTGAGTATATGTGGTGCTTGTTTTTCCATTCTTGGGATACTTCACTTAGTAGTATGGGTTCCAGC